TGCTACAGTATCATCAGGCACATTATAAATTGTGGTACATCCTTGACCAAATCTATCTCACTTATAGTGAGGTTTTTAATTCTGCATATAGGAAGGAAACACCATCTCATATCTTGACTACTAGGCCATCATCTTTTAAAATTCGAGACATTAGACCCCATTTTATAGCACCCATTTTTTGACTAATATCGTCATGCCTTAATATTACGCACATAGTCAAATTCATAGACTCAAATTATTTCCTTTCTTACTTAAACAGAGGAGTCAAGAGTCGTCTTTGACATATACATTATATTAATAGTTTATTACAAGAAATCACTCAATTAAGAATTTCATGTGTTATAACTAGAAATCTATTTCGAATAGACAGGAGAGATATTAAATTAAATCCTTGTGCTGACCACACAAATGTTTCGGACATCACCAAATATCCATTGTGAGTAGTTTTTAGAAAAATTCGTTGGTTTAATTGTCCATATATGTATAAATTTTGAACTGCTAGTGTCTGGAATATAAACCCTGTCAACTTTGAACTGTGGACCCATGGACACAAAACTAAAGCACACTTAATAAGCGTTATACGCAATAATAAAATTTTAAAAGTGATGAAATAATTTGTGAATATAAGTTGTAATTTAACTTCATTTTTAAGACGCAAATAACTATTATATTTAATAGAAACTAGTATATTTCATAAAGAGGTTTTCAAAAAGTAGTGAACTACAACAACAAAAATTTATTTTTATATTATTTTAATTAATTGAATTTTTGGCTGACCATACTATCTTAGACGATCTTAGAAATAGTTCTTGTATTTAATTATTCCTAAAGTGACCAACGATTTGGGGGCGCTCGGTACTACCAACTGGCGTCAGAAAGCAACTAATCGGTCTGACTGTCAGAGGCTACTCGACGCGGCCAAGGACGACCCACGTCTGTTATGGCCAACTAAGTAAGTAAGTAATTTTTTTTTGAGACTGCAAGTACCACGAATCGAACTCGTGCCCTACCAAATTTGAAGCTCAGTGTCAGCGCCCCTTAACCAATTGACCCAAAGTAGTACTTAACCTTTATGTTCGCACATTTTTCTTTACGAAAACTTCTTTATGAAATAATTTATGTATTATAATTTACTTTAAAATGAATGAATATCAAATCTTGTACATTATTTACTTTCATACACTTATTTTGTTTATTCTAAAATTTCTTTTAATGACTTTACTCGTATATAATCGTATGAAGACTGCCTTAAGGTCTTCCGTTTTCAACATTTCTTTTATGAAAAAGTTTCCTTAACAAAAGCCTTCTTCAAAGAAATTTTAAAACACTTTTCTTTATTAAATTTAAATTCGTAAATTTCTTATATAAACATATATTAACAACGCTTTGGATCATATTGCATGAAGTGGGTTGAAGAAGGTTCATTGGCGCAATTTTTTCCGCCAGTCACAACTTGATTGCATCCACCAAATAAAACGTTTCCAAAATATTTACGTTTCAAAAAGTTTTCGCTAATGAATTTGCAAATATTTACAACATTTTGCATTTTGACACTTTTTAACTTTTATAAACATATAAGCAATTTTTTACGCATCTTTTGCTATATAAATGGTTATTTATTTTTATTTTTATTTTCGCTCTAATTATACTGAACCCAACACGGCACATCTGAGTGAAATATTTTGTTTTCTTCAAACAAAAATTTTGGTAAATTGAAAAAAAAATTATTTTTCGATCATAAGCGTGAACAAAATTATAAACAATAATATTTACTGAAAATCTTCACCACAATCTAGCTGGTCTAGTCTGGTTCAGTATCTAAGTAGTATTTTTCCTTATAAACATCAACAAATGATTCAACTTGGTTGCTGGATTGCAGTTGTTAAAATCTTGACTCATCCACAAAATTTCCAAAGAAATTTTGATAAAATTGGTAAATATAGACTGTGACACCTTTTGTTGTTATGAATATTATCCAAATAGTAATAGTATCCAAAAATGTTGTTGTTTTATCTCTTGCAATGTGAGATTTGTCATCAAATCGGTGCCTAGCTCAATCTGCGCGCACCGTGGCGTATGAGTTACATCAATGCAAAATGCTTTAGAAATTGGAAATGTGTTAATTTGTCCGTAATTTGATTTTTTGCTTTTAGTTGCTGTGAATAACCGATACAGTCTTTTTTTCTTATTTTGAATTTATTTTGTTTTTTTATTAAATATTATTACTTTTTTAATTTTCGAGTATAAAAACTTAAAGCGCATTAAGTTTCGGTTTCGTGGTGAGGCCCGTACAATATAATTTATAGTAATTTGCGGATAATTAATAAAACGTGAGTTTGTAGAATTTAGTAATTCACTTCAGTTAAAATTTGTGTGAAAATCGAACTAAATTAAACTAAAAATGTCATATGAGTAAAACGTAAAGTTGCACGCTTCCGTTTAATTAGAATTTCGCTAATCATTTTAATTAGTGAAGATTGTGTTTCATCATTAAAATGACTACTATTTTTTAGTTTTGTTATAAAAGTATATTCTTATCGAAATTCCGGGCTATCCAACCTGTGTATTTTAGCACATATTGTTTTTCACAAACTTCTAATAGACAATTCTAAGTTCTAAAGGACAATTTCTCAGTGTGTCTATTCAATGAAGAAACACTCTTGCCAACAGCTGTTGCTTTGGCTTAAGTATCCAATTAAGAAGTTAAGCCCTCTCTCGACAAACAAAATAATCACGCTCTACAAATCTCTTATCATAGTCTGTATTGAGCCAATTAATCCCGAAAATATAGTGAAAAACTTTAAAGCGAACCGAGAGAACTAACGAACGATAAAGACATATGTGATTCAAATCCTCAAAGCAAGGAAATTAGTTCTAGAAAAGAAGAAGCAAAGATTAGGATAATTTAGTTATATACAGACACAAAAACATGCAGTGAAAAAGTGGTGGTCTGAACGCAGACCGAAAATAAAAAGACTAGGGCTACAATATAAAAGTAACGCTCGCCAAAGTAATGAGAAAGCGGCTCCCTGGGAAAATAAGTCTCTCCGAAGCGTGAAAGATTTATTCCGCATACTACATATTAATATGTTGGAAAGTTAGGCAAACCATTCCATCGACAGTCAGTCAGTCACCTCCTCAAAAACAAAAATCTCTTATCATGCCTGTCCTGTTGTATAATGCAGAAGCTTGAACAATAACCAACAGTGATGAGAAAGCATTAGAAGTAGTCAATAGAAAAATTCGTCGGAAGATCTATGGTCCCTTAAGCGTTGACAATAGGTTTCGAATTATATAGAACTATAAGCTGTATGAGCTGTATCGTGACACTGATGTAGTCAAGTACATACTGACTACATACACACTGGCTTCGATACTGACTAAGCCACCAGCTGAAACTAATCAAACTTAAATTATCATCATAATATTTTTCCCTTACAAAAAAGCTTTGTAACTCAAGATGAAGCGCTGTTATCATATTAGAATATTTCTCATCTTCTCAGCCATTTTTTATAAATCATTCGGATTCGATGCAAACTGTAGAAAATTCGTCAAATCAGCCGTGGCCGGCTTTGTCAATTTCACAAAATTGAAATCTCTCAAGGAATTAAATCTTTGTCTAGAGAAAACCTTACTGCGATATAGTAAATGCGCGAATGTGTCTTCCATTTCTTTATCTTTCCAGCTTCTGCAGAAGCTTCTGCTAGAAATACACAATCTGGCTTACCTAACAAAGAATCACCAGTTATGACGGAAATATACAGATGTCTTTAAACAGTCTTTGAAGACTTTTGTTCTTTTGTACCAAAACCTTAGCATGTGAAAGGCTGGATTGGAATTATTACCAAGCAAGTGTTTAATCCAAATCCAAAGATGATAAGAATTTCTGACATATAATTGATGTTATATTTCAATACGAATATTAACTAAAAATGTTGATGATGAAACCTTAGAAGCATTCTTTAAGTTGTAAGATTTTAAAAAACTTCACAGGAAGAAATATTAGTTTTATAGTTTTTAAGCGAAGTATATGCTCAGAATAAAGCTCTTGAAAATAATGCAAATGAGACAATTAGTTTTTACAAATACATATTTATATGTATATTTAATGCTTATATACACCTTCTACTTACTCTCACCACAATCTATTTGATGAACTACAAAAAACACTCAACAAAAAGCATTTTCCAATAAATACTTTGGCTACGCCGTTGGACATGCTAGTTCTATTTACTAGTTATTTCTGGTCTATGACTACAATTTTCTAAAGCTATTGAATTGTTATATATAAGCGTAATATATAATATGTAGACCCTTGTACGGTTTGAACATAATTTAATGTCCTATAGGACAAGACAGACAATTTAGAGTTTTATCTACTATAGTTTAAATATTTTCATATTTGCTTATTGCCTTTACCCCTAAATCAAAACTGTTACACCAACAGGTTTTAAATTAAAATCTAGTAAACATTTTAGAGCTTCTACACTAATTTTATAAAATAAATATTTTTGTTAGTTACCAATTAACAAATCACTGTTCACACTGTTTGCTTAAAAGATAATTACTCTATTCATTACAAATTGGATAATTGTTACTATTATTTAAATCATTATATAGGATATTATGAACTTATAAGTAAATAATTTTTATACTTTATTCTGTAGAGGTGGTTTTACCTCATGCTATAACTATTGCTGTATTCTCTGCAAGCAAAACACTTTTCTTCCTCCTTAAAAGTGGTTTTACTAGGTCAAAGTCTCATGCTATGACTATTCGCTTCGTTATTAACTATAAATTAACTCGAAGGGAATTAATAACTTACTACCAAAAATAACTTACTACTACTTACTACTAACTTGCTACATATAATTATTTTCATATATTAAAGTCCAGAAACTGTTTCTGTTTATAAGGAACCACCACTTCTTATCCTACCGAATCTCCTATCTCATCAAACTTATATTGCTTTACACATTTTCATAACAACGTACGTATAATTTTAATTTTGTAATTTTCTTTTATTTTTTTATATTTAACTGCAAAGTAATTTACTACAAGTAAGTCTTAATCTTTTTTTAAAAGCAGATGGCCTTTTGGTTTAAGTTTATTTTTTATAATAGACTCCTTTTCAGCACTTTTCTCTGCCTTGAGCCTTGCATGTCTCTGCTTAGCATAATTCAATTCTGAAATCTGTGTTACAATTTTTTCGGCGATCTGATGTTGTCGTTCTAAACGTGCTTTTTGGTTAGACTAAAAGTAAATACATTATTTATCGGTACTCTATTAATTAAGATATAATAACTCACTCCTAATGGTGTAGGACGTCCATCCAAAAATGTGTAGTCGGGTAGATTTGTAAGTGGACCAAAAGCATTAGAATTCATTGGCAATCCTTTATCTTCACGCCACTTTTGATCATAATAGCAACTGGCAGTAAGTGATATATTACGTTTAAGTACGCCTATAAATATTTTAAATGAATACAAAATATATTTAAAATAATAAATGTAACTAACCATTTGCAATTTGTGTTATATTTGTAAAAGATTTTGTTATTTTAAGCATATTTGAATAATCACTTTTTTGTTTTGTAATAAATGGCAGAAATAAATTTTAATGTGTACCGAATTGTCAAAATCAGCTGTTAATTTGACTTATGCCGGAAAAATATATACAAACCTGGCAGCACTCTTGTGTAGAGTTTTAAATTTACAAACATTTGATTTTATTTATCAATTGTAAACAAAAAGTTCGAGGAAATTTAATAAAAATATTTTGGCGAATGTATTAAAACACGTATTTTAAGTACTGATATTATTTTTTATTAATTGTTTAAATAACATTATTATTTTATTATGCCTTTTGAGTCGCCTGCTACAAGTGATTTGCCCGCTCAACAACAACGTTTGGAAATTACATTGAAATGTCCAAATCCTTTATTTGAAAAATGGCTGGAAAGCTGGCTACATGATGCCGAACGGCGTAATAATAAATCTCAATACAAATTAAGAGAAGCTTTAATAGCTTTGCGTAGTTATCCACTACCATTAGCCTCTGGCCGCGAATGTGCTGTTCTACGCGGCTTCGGCACAACATTGTGTAACTTCATTGATGAAGAACTGCGTCAAGTGCAACGAATACAACCGCAAATTGTAAAAAACCCCATGTCTACATATGAAACAGAAGTCAAGCAAATCGTTGCATCAGTTAAAAAAGCCAAACAGAAAAAGAAGATAACAGAAAAACCAATCAAAATAAGTAAAAAAGTACAAAAGGCTTTAGAGGAGGAGGAAGAGCGCAATCGCCAAGTCTTAATGCAACCAGGTACATTTAAAATTTTACTCTTGGTGGATATACAAGAGACAAGTGGTAAAAATAAACGTTTGCTGGATCAAACTCGTAGTTATTTGGAAACACTTAATGTGCAGTATGAAGTGAGGCGCCTGACAGTGGGTGACTTCTTGTGGATAGCACGTGATGCAATAGGAAATGAATTAGTCTTGCCTTATATTGTTGAACGTAAGAGAATGGATGATTTAGCCAGTAGCATAAGAGATGGCAGATTTCATGAGCAAAAGCATCGTTTATGTCAATGTGGTTTACAGCATGTTGTTTATTTGGTTGAAGATTATGGTGACAATGAACATGTTGGTTTACCCTTAGACTCTTTAAAGCAAGCCATGACTAATACACAAATTCAATCCAATTTTTTTGTTACACACACTGAAAATCATTGGCGTTCCATGTCCTATCTACAAGGCATGACAAAAACACTTATCAAACTATTTAGGAATAAAATACTTAAAAATACCACGAAGGAAAATTCACAAGAATTTAATACAAAAGATGATTTAGTTGGGTTACTTAAATTCCGAGCACTGTATGATGATTCAGCACGCAATGCTCAACTTACTGTTCGTGAAGTGTTCGTCCAACAATTACTACAACTTCATTCATTATCGATGGAAAAAGCTTTGGCTATTGTTGACGTCTACGCCACGCCCAAACAACTTTTCGATGCCTTCGAAGCATGTGCCAGTAACGGGGAAGCACGCTTACTCCTGGCAAATATACGTTGTGGTCAATTACAAAGACCGATTGGAGAAAAATTAAGTCAAACTATATATGACTTTTATTGTACAGAATTTTGAACTTATAATTTACTCTTAACCATAATTTAATAATAGATTTAAAAGAACCATTCATTTACATTAAAACTTTGTGATATATCATAAATGTAATTAATAATATTTTTATAAATTTCTTATTTGAATACGAAAATAAATTTAAATTCTTTATCATTCCAATTAAATAATTAATATTTTTAAGTTGATAGTACTGCATTTGATAGGAATAAATTACAGTTCTGTATTCTATATATTCTCTATATTCTGTTATCTACTAACAGATTTAGTGATATTTACGAATTTTCAGAAGAAAAATACATAACTTTTGGGAATGCTAAATCCAGGATACTCACTACCACCAAACCAAATATCCTGGGTGACGTTCCCGATAGTATGTTAACCTTTTATTCACATGGCACGGTGATGAGCAGGCGGCTGAAATTCCGCAATGGATTATTAGTAAAAATTGTTTTTATCTTCATGGACAGCCCTCCAATCCTCGAAATTATGTGCATAAGAGTATGGACGAATGTTCTAAAGTCCATCTAAATTTAAATTTTCCTGAAATAGTTATGGGTTATATACGACTTATGTGTCGATTTTATGTGATTACTATAATTTTGTCATTATTATTATTAGATATAATAATAATGCATTATAATATATGATACCTATTGAAGAAAGCCTTTTAATCTAATCCAATCAGAAATTAAAACTAGTCATAAACATTAAATATCATTTCGTTTCCAATTTTTAAACATTTTATATATGAGGAGTGATAACTTGCACCGAGAGATATTAAATAAACTGTTCAGTTATAGGTAAAATTATTTTATTTATCTGAATGTACCATTGTCCTTTTCTTGCTAATGATAAATAAATCTCTAATTATGCGTTAGTTAGACTTTAGAGATCAAAACTTTGGACAAGGTATGTGAGTCGTTGTTATATTGGTGTAAGCATTGTTACAGAAAAGTATCTGAAAACGTTTGCTTAATATTAGTAGTTGATATTCGCGTTATATTAGTATGTTTTAATTTCTATAGTAATCGGAAAAATGTTAATCAACTACATATTGTATGTAATGTACATATATATTAACTACATATTGTATGTTATTCGTATTAAAACACTGTGTATAGGATTCTAAAGTAGATGGGCAAATACTATTTAATTATCCAGTATATTGGCAAATGTAGGTACGATGCATAATTTCGGCTCCCATTTTAAATATGTTCTACTAGGTTATGCTAGGTGAAGATGATTTTTGAAGAAAACGTAATTAACATTATCTTAAGAAGAAGTAAGCTGTAACCACTGAAATCCGTTAACTGAATTCCGGCAATTATTTTGATCCCGTGATTATTAATGAATAATCAGCTTTTCGATTTTCTGCCATATTCCAATAGTATCTTATTGTCGTTATAACAATTTAAACCAATAATAGGTTGGTAGGTTATACCGACGATCTCAAGAGATCCACTTAGGCCTATAGGTCCATTGTGTTAAAGTATATTTAAAAACTCCGGGGAATTGGTTCTGATTCTGATTCTGCTAACATTTTTCTGAAAATGGAAAACTGGTTTTTAGGTAATTATTTAATTATTCATATTACGCAAAAGATGTAAGAGGAATAATTTTGTAATAATAAATTTAAAATTAATTTTAGAACTTAAGAATTAATTAGCTTAATTCTAAATTATACAATTTTATTATATTATATTGACAATACTAAGCTTGAATATACATAATATTTGAACACAGAACTACAAAAACATGAGATGCGTATGACTTCAATTCCTTAAGAGGTGATTGTATATAAAATATATAAATATTTTTTTCGAAATTATCTTTGCAATACAATATATAATATTAATATATATTTATAGCACATATGCCAATATTTTGATTTTCAGAATGTACTCATATTTGACACTTCATAGTTCAATGTTTTAGGCACATCAATTTGGCTTTGCTAAATCTCTCCAAATATATTTCTCTACATATTTTGATTAGTAGTAATTTGACATTGGGGTCTTAATTAGTATTACACGTCTCAGTGAGTTATCAATTTTTTTTTTGGTATTTAGTGCTTCGTTTTATTTATGTTGAATTAAATTAAAACTATAGTTATAGTTAAATAGGATTGAAAGAAATGACTTCAAGGGTACAAACACATGATCGTAGCGGTAGCACAAAAGCCACTCCACTCAAAGAGATTTGTTCCCGGGCGCTAGCGCCGAAATCAGAATGGCCTGATAAGGTAAGTAAACGAAAATGTGGGTCAATAAATAAAAATACTTTTAAGTAAAAAAACGTGATTTAAAATGCATATATTATATTTAATTTAGGATGAATTTCTGGATGTAATTTATTGGTCGAGACAAATTTTTGGAATATTACTGGGTATAGTATGGGGCATCATACCACTTAAAGGATTTTTAGGTTTAGTGCTGTGAGTATAAAATAAATAAAACAAAATGACGATTAAACTGATAATTATTATATTTTAGTTTTGCTGGTATTAGCTGTGGTGTAGTGTATCTCTACGCCATCAATTTTCAAGCAATAGACGAAGAAGCTTACGGTGGACCATGGGAATTGGTTAAAGAAGGATTTATGACATCATTTGCAGGATTTTTGGTGACGTGGATAATTTTCTACACGGGACTGCACTATGATGCTATAATGGCCGCGAAGGCTTAATAACTAGAAAAAAGTGCCAAATTCCGTTTCGTAGCTGACAATTAAATTTAATTACTATTCTTCTACCCTGTTTGTGAGATTAATGTTAACTTGGCACCCCATTCCTATACTCATTTTTGTTTGATTTATAATTATTCAACTACTACTACTAGCAATAAATATCCAGAAGTTGTGAAGTGTTTAGTCTTTTATGCTGGAGACTATTTTGTACCCCCGACAAATTTTATTGTTGCATTTAGTAATTTTATACATTTAATAATTTAAATTAGTTAAAAATTGTAGAAAACTGAACTTTTGAAAATGTTTTCTTTTTCTGTGAAAAACAAGACAATTTTATAATAAAAAACAATTTAAATGGGTTTTACAAATTGCTTCTTTAATTGCATTTTATTACTGTTTGACTTTAGAGCATTAAAAATATAAAATTTACACGAACTATTTATTGTTAAGCGTCTAAATGTTAGTGTTCCATAACTTCGATGCCCCCTCCTCCTTCGCTACCGTTTTGTGTAACACCATTCTGTAAGTCTGTGAAGAAATTCTCTGGTAGCTGACCACTTTGTAATACGTGCGATAATCGCTCTACTTCGAGCAATGAACTGGCACGTTTTATAGCTTCGCGTATACGTTGTAAATCTTCAGGATTTGCCATTCTAGTGCCACCGCTATTGCTTTCTGCTGCAACTGCAGCAGCATTTAGTTTTGTCTTTTTAGCAATTTCCTTTGCAATATCTTTGCCTTGCTTTGTACGGAAGAAATCATGCGCTGCTTGACGATCCTTTTGTTTAATCT